AGGAAAACTGTAAGCACCACAATGACCTTATACCAACTTGAATTTCTGACTCTGTTTCAGGGCATACATCCTTCTACGCAGAAGATGACAAGAAGATAACCTTCCCACAGGAAAATTATCCCACCACTGCCTATGTGGATAAACTGAAAAAGTCCACAGGAGAGCAATAAAATTGATAAGGGGTCATATATTCTAGATATGCGAGGGAACGTTGAAGAACATGGATTATTTAGTCTGGCAAAGAAAGGACTGAGGGTGGAGTTCACAACAGGCTTCAAATAAAGATGGTGACTGATTGTTTACAATGGGTAAGACGAGCAGTAATGGGCTTACATTGCAACAAGGGAAATGTAGGTTGGGGTTTAGAAAGAACTTTCTAACTATAAGAGGGGTTCATTTCTGAAACAGGTTCCCTGGAGAGGGGGTAGCATTTCTATTGCTCAAAGTTTTTAAGTGTAGATCAGAAAACATCTGTCTGGATTGGTTTGGAGGATGATCCTGCCTTGAGCAAGGGACAAAACTAAGTGACCTCCTGGGTTCCCTTCCAGCCCTGCTTTTCTCTGATCCTATGATTCTGCTGCAGGGTTTCTTGTCCTTTCCTCTGAAGCTTGCGGTAATGGCTGCTGTTAGAGACAAAACACTACAGCAAATAAACTCCTGGCTTAAATCACTTTGACGATGGCTATATTCCTTCCTGTGGAAATCTGATGTCATAAAAAAAAAAGACATGCAACGGTAGCACTGAGGTCCCGAACGATACTGGCACTAGGCTCTGTACATACAGAGAACTCTTAACCCAGGAAAGGCTGCAGTCTAATAGAAAGTCGAACCAAGGGAGGGAGAAATGATGAACCCTCTGCCCCATTTCATGGATTGTGATTTTGTCAAAGTCATACAATAAGTCTGCGGGAAAACCAGGAAATGAAATCAGATCTCCTGACTCAGTCCAATGCTCAACCACAAGACTATCCTTCTTCCTCCTTCTATTAGTTCTTAACCACATTAAGGGACATGCCATGATTCCTTACAGGGGTGGAATGCACCATGAGCATCTGTACGCAAAGCAGATGCAAGAGCAGCTTCAAAAGCCCCAACAGTTGCAAGGATCCCCAAACTAAAAAGCTCTCCCCTGCAACCTAGATAAAACACTTGCCAGCACAGAACTCGAGCGCTGGTCCTCATGACATCCCTACTTGTGTTTAAATGGGGCAAGTGCTGCACTGTGGATACTCAGACACGAAGAACTCTGACTAGCCTAAAAAGTGTGGGAAAGGTCATTGAAAAGATCACTTTCCTACAGCAAGAGAGCCCGGAAGGTGGCCACGGGTCCAAGGATAGACCGTATAGTCCTCCTCTTCCACGAGATTGCTGGAATGATTTCTAAAGGGATTCTCCAGCAAAGGAAGAACTAGGCACGTGTTCCCACCGCAAACAGGAGTATGACATTAGAAAAAGGCTGCTTATTAACAGGAAGCTTGTTTATGGCCCATGCATTGATAGAATTGCTCTGCAGCAAGCAGTACTTCGCCCCACAGGACTGCCGTGTCTGCAAGGAACATCTGCCATGCAAATACCACCATCAATGAAATGCTCTCTTTTTCATTTAGCTATCAATTATCTTGTGTTCCTTGGTTTGGATGTTCTTCTGTTATGTTCTTTCAGCTCCTCAAAGGGCTCAGGGGTACAGGACATGACCCTGCCCACATTAGCCATTGATGGTACGCAAGTGCCATCTGCCCTAGAGCTGTACATAACTCCATCAGGTAGCTACAGCGAGGAAAATGGATGGATTAAAGAGTTAATAATAGCCACACAACTTTCCACAGGTCGCTTGACATCTGGCCCAGTCCAGTGGTGACTAAAAGAATATTCAAGGATAAAATTGATGTTTCCAGTCCCCATCATAAAACCCACCACTGCTACTGGCTCCTCTTGTGGTGGCCTCACTAGAGAAGAGCCAAAGGAAGGAAAATGCTGATGCATTCATAGCTAGGGCACCTGCAGAAGGCCCAAGAGTTCAAGGTTCAATTCTTGCCTCGATGTTTGTTGTGGGAGACTCTCTCCTGAGGGGGACTGAGGGGGCAATCTGCCGCTCCGACCCCTTAGCCTGGGAAGTCTGCTGCTTCCCGGGGGCCCGCATCCGGGACATTGCGGAGAGGATCCCAGAGCTCCTCAAACCCACAGACCACTATCCCATGCTCCTAATTCATGTGGGCACCAATGACATGGCTCGGAGCGCTCCCAGCCAGGTCACGAGGCGCTACATGGATTTGGGAGCAGGGCTAAAGGGTCTGGGGGCACAGGTGGTGTTCTCGTCGATCTTCCCAGTCTCAGGCTATGGGCCGAGGAGGGAAGAGGAGGATCCACGTGGTCAACCAAAGACTGCAGCGCTGGTGTCGTCGGGAAGGCTTTGGCTTTCATGACCACAGCCCGCTCTTTGGCGAGAGAGGCAGCGAGCTGCTGGGAAGAGATGGCCTCCACCTCTCTCCCCTAGGGAGGAGGCTTTTCTCAGCCAGACTGGCTGACCTGCTCCACCGGGCTTTAAACTAAGCCGGCTGGGGGACAGGGGCACTACTGCCACTGCTGGCCCGCTGAGCAATCCTTGCAAAGCCAGCAGGTCGAGGCACTTAAGGGAGCCCACCCCTGCCCCAGCCCTGGCAAAATCTATGGGCAAGGAAGGAGCCCCCCAGGGGGCACTTGCTTGCCTGTACACAAATGCCAGAAGCTTGGGGAATAAGCAGGAGGTACTCATCCTCCTGCTCAATGCAAACAATTATGATGTCATAGGGATAACGGAGACCTGGTGGGACTCCACCCATGACTGGACCACGGGTATAGATGGCTATACCCTGTACAGGAGGGATCGTGTAGAGAAAAGGGGCGGGGGTGTAGCTCTCTATGTTAAGGAAAGCTACACGTCCCTGCAAGCTGATATTGGTGACCATGACCACGGGGAGAGGGGAGTTCAAGAAGAGTGGTTGCTCCTCAAGGGAGCGATCCTCAATGCACAAACTAAGTCTATTCCATCTCGGAGGAAAGGCAGCAAGAGGGCACAGCAGCCCCCCTGGCTCTCCAGGGACCTAGCAGACCTCCTGAGGCTAAAAAGAAAGGCCTACAAAGGGCGGAGGATGGGAGTCACCTCCAAGGAGGATTATTCTGCACTGGTCCGGTCCTGTAGGGAGCAGACCAGGAAAGCCAAGGCTGCAACTGAACTCCAACTAGCTTTGAGCATCAAGGACAATAAAAAGTCCTTTTTCA